TTCTACCTTTGCATGTCTTTGTGTGCACAGGAATCAAGCTGAGCCTTGTGAACAGAATAAGTTGTCTGCAGTGGGAGAAAGGAGGAACATGGGGACCTTTACCTCCATCCGAGGCTGGGAGCTTTGTTGTTTTCTGATTGCAGCCCTCCCTTCAGATAGACACCTTGTGGCTGTCGGTGCCTTTGGGCAGAAATTGGGTACTTTTAAGAAGCAGAAATAGAAAGTGCGTGCGTGTGTGTGTGTGTGTGTGTGCGTGAGGGCGAGAGAGGGGGAAAGGTGTCAGTGCCACTCTGTGCCCTGCAGCTGCCTGCGGCTCCTCAGTAGACTCTTTCGTACTTCACCTGCTCCCTGAGACCCTAACTTGTGAGCTCTCTTGATAAAAAATCACGGGTTAGGCTCTTGGGACGCGGGCGGAGGGCACAATCGACTTTCTACCGAATGTTCCCATGGCGCAGTCGGGATGAAGCAGTAACTGATTTACTGCTACCAAACGTGGCAGGGACGACATAGAGCAAGGAAGAGGAAGTTGCTGAGTACAATAAAGACCAAATGTTTGTAAGATGTCTGTTCAGTCAGCTCCCGTCACATGATTTATAAACTGTCAACTCAACTGCAGCATCGATTAAACTGTATTTGCAGGAATGTGCATGCCTGGTGCCGCCAGCCAATTGTATTGTTTCCCCAAAAAATGAATCAAAAGATGCCTCTTGTGATCACAGCAGTGTCACTGGCATAAAAAGCAAAATACCCGTCATCACTGCACTGCACTGTCATCCAGCACCATCATTTCTCTGTGTGCCAACATATTTGCTTGAATAGCGTTCAAGTAACACATGATCTGATTAGAAATGACAGAACACCAACCACTCCAAACCACCACACCCCAGCCTCGTGTTGATTAACCCCTGTCACCACCGCACCACAGCACAGCATCGCAGAGACCCAGCCAATATATCTGGTCCACCATTACCAAGACAGCCGCTCCGAACGTGATCACTGCAGTTTCATTTAGACTCTCCAGCGGCAGCCTCACACTGATGCCTCATCTGCTGCTGCTGTTCTCTAAATGTAATACACCAGTTTTATTGTTCTGTCTGCAGCCCTCTGCTAACCTAATCGCTCGCCTTCAGCTAACACATTTATTTACAATTCATTCTTTGTATAACACATACATGATCTTAATGTCAGGTCTACCACTTCATAACTGTCTGCACCTTAGCCGAATATTTGTGTAACAGTTTTCAAAATCAATATTGGAATATAGTATCGAATAACAAGCAGTCACTTGAAAAAATAAGTGTGGCACAAAATATTTATACTTGTCTTTTGACTTATTTAATATTAATTAAAAAACACACAAACAGAACTATAAAGGTGTGTGTGTGTGTGTGTGTGTGTTTTTTTTAATTGATATCACAATTTTAGAGCAATAGTTTTCTTATTGAATGAATTTAATTCATTTTCACTGTGACTTGGATGATTCAAATTATTTACAACTGGGATACACAATAATATTTAAATTCTCAGTAAACAGAAAGTTATATCTCCTGTGCATGCAGTTTCTGAGAATAGAGGAAACATATTTTACAATCAATCATCACAGTTTTACAATGTTTAATCAGTGTCCGCAGGAATTGTGATGCTTCCTTAATTTGATAATTTCCGTCTGAATTTGCCTTTGTCATGAGATGTCACAACCAAATTGGTTAATGGTCTGAATCAATATTTAAAGTGGAGGTGTAGGACGACTCAGACAGACATTGTAATGCAGCAACACGGCACAATAAAAAAGATTGAACATTGAATAGAAAATGAAAACACTGGACTTGTCTTTTAAGAACATGACTATAGTAGTGCAATTACAATAAATTAGGCCTGTGGAAGAAAAAATAATCTTCAATTCCTTTGCGATATTGAAAGGTATGACTTCATTCACTATTACAGCTTGACCTCGTTTTTAAACTTTCAGTTTTACCCAAGGCAGCATGCTTTTCTGAAAACCTAATTTCTGCTAAATTACCCATATTAGGAATGCAGTTGAAAACAATTGATTTTCTCTCTAGTACCCTCCTCTCCATCTTTCTCCCAGTCTCCCTCTCTCCCTAATTATGTTTTTTTTCCTCCTCGTCTCCCCATTTGGTTTCACAGTGAACAATGCCGATGCCAACTAATCAGTCTGTGCCTGTGCCACAGAGCCCCCAGCAACAGCTGAAGGAGTGCCATGCCCCATGAATACCAAACAGCCAGGCACAGTGCGACAAGTGCTGAACAGTCAGACGCAGCACAGCCAGAGCAGAGCTGGTGCCCACAAAACAGCCAGACAGTTTTATTAGGGTCTGTCTGACACGCAGCAAAGTCTGGCAGCACCCAAACCCACTGATGAAACCCTCACTGCTCCCCCAACAGTAACAAAGCAGCATGCTCGGAGCGATCCGCCAAGGATCCAATAAACATCCCCCCGTAAAAATCAGCTCCCGGCTACTTTGTAACTCCACGGCATGGGGAATACAAACTTTGTTCAAAGTCAAACTAGTTCTCCATGAGCAACTGCTAAACTGATCTCTTTTGTGCAATCTAAACATTAAAGTGCATCTGAGAGAAGAGGCTAGAAAAAGAGAAAATCTGCTTTAGAGAAAAGCTGTATTTTATTTTTCTATAAAAGCTTCCAGGCCAATTAGTGCATCTCTGACCTTTTGGATATAATTTATTTAAAACATGATTTTGCTACGGTTCCGTTTTTTTATTCGTGATAAATTGATAATTTATATTTCCAGACAAACGCAAAATGAGAAACCTGCTATGAACCGGCTATGAATTACTGAAATATGAAATATATGTTTCTTTTTTTTTTAAATAGTCATTTATAATAAGAGCAGTCTTTTTATGATTCTTAAAATGCACAGTTTAACCTTTTGTTTTTATAAAAAGAGATGCAGTTATCATAAATGTGGAAGATGTTGTCAATGTCATGTTAGTTAATAGCAGAATGCAATAATATGTTGATTTCACTTTTTTTTTTAAGTATTTATGTACTGTGTGTAAGAAGGACAAGATCATTCATGTAATGTCACTACACTATGAATTATTTTAATACAATTTAGACCCAACACATTTCAATGATTAAGTTCATGAAATCATCAAAAACTGATTAAAAAAGCTTTTGCTTCATTTTGTAATGAATGCAGTGCCTCAGCAAAATGCTGAACATTAATATGATGCACATTTTATCAATACTAAATAAACAGCGTTCAGGATGTGGCTTCTGTACTCAGCTGGTCTTCAAGTTACTGCGGCAAAGATTGATTCAGACCTTGAATAGGTGTAGATAAACCAAAGGCTCCAGCTGATGGACCCGAGTGTGTGCGAGAGATTACACTCCATTGTTCAGAGGTGGTTGTGTAACACGCCGCGCTACCACATCGCTCCCCGATAAAAGTAATAAGAACAGATTAACATTTATCCGCCACATTTGGATTTGGGCTGGAGCTGACATGGAAATCAGATGGATTTAGTGAATAAGAGGCCTTGGGTTTTTTTCTGTTCTTTAGCATTGATTGTCAGGTTGTGTTGTCTGGTGAAGCAGCTCAGTGTTCAGAGGATCTGTTATCGCAGCAGGGTGAGGGAAGAATCGCAGGTGTGTGTGTGTGTGTGTGTGGTGGGGGCGTCAGGTAAGCCTGATAGCGAAGCAGCTTGGAATAGAGGAGGAATGGAGGTGGGGGGTGGCGTCTGAGTTTCCAGACACTGCGGCAGGAGGCCAGACAGTCACCTGAACACACACACACTCACATTAAAGTGTGCCAATGACACCGCACACATGCACCGTTCAAAAAGAAGCAGACACTTCATACACACAGCCCCCTCCCTTGAAGTCGGCACTACAGCCAAATCAATTTTGTTTTTAATTCAATCAAGGGCATAAATCGTATTGCCACTTGTAATGTAATTATCCCTGTGCATCGAAAGCACAAGTTTCTCTATTATTCTCAGGGCGACAGAGATGAGAGATAAACTCCATTAACTTTTTCCGATTACAGTAAGTGCTGTGGGAGGCGGGGGTGTCTATTGAAAGGACGGTCGAGCTGTGCTGAGACCCGAGGATGTTCGCAGTGGGCCTGTGGGCACAGAGCAGGAGTCTGGAAAGTGAGGCTGATGATTGAAAACCAAACAGCGACGCTCAAAGGGAGCAGACTGGCGCTGTGACAGGCCAGAGGTCTCAGCACAGCCAACTGGAATGCTCTCAGACCTGGCTTGTTGTGTGTGAAAGTGTGTGTTCTGTGTAAAGGTCCACAGTGTTTAAGGGGAGTATCTCCCATCGGTCCTCCTGGCCCTGCTCCCTCCCCGGGTCCCGTATTATCTCCCGTCTCTTTCTGATCTGTGATTCACTTCGGAGGCGTTGCCGGGGAAACCTGGTATCTGGCGAGCAGCTTGATGGAGTTATTGAACTGTAACTGGCTGGGATAATTATGCTCTGTCTATCCAGCTACTGGACAGCCAACCTGCAACCTATAGCTGGCCCCACATTGTCGCTGCAAGGAAAAGCTTTTAACCCATTGGCCACCAGACTGTTGTCTTTGGCAGAGATGTCCAATCAGAGGTCACGCTTTCAGCCACTCTGTGACTCTGCCTTTTATCTGCCAGTGCTGCATTAGTGCCACAGTTTCAAATGAGCTGAATTCAGGTAAAACACACACCCACTCGATCCTCGTCTCGTACACATTTGCTTTGCGTCCCTGCTGAAACAGGTCTCGACCACAAGTTCCTTGTGTGTTCTCAAGTGCTTCCACTCAGCTTGTGCGCAGGTGGACACTTGGATAATCACAAGTGATCTGAGTGATTTCACCTTTGATATTTTACCAGAGTTGACGTTTCATGTATCCTGCTGCATTTAGCTTCAAGTCTCTCAAACATTTTAGAGCAGTGGAAACTCTCTGAAATAGAAGGTAGTTGTATTTGCCCACATTTATGCTAAATTGCAATTATCATTATCTCTTTTTGTCTAGGAGCCCTTGCAGTTGTCTCTCTCCACACGCTCAGAGGTAAGACAAATCACAACTTGCATTTGCAATGATAACATAATAACAACATTTGCAAATAAAAAGATCCCTAATCTTAGTTACCTTAGTTACCATTTTACCTGCAGACAATAGAAGGGGGCAGACTTTGGGTGTTTCACTGCCTTGTTTTGCTTGTGCACTTGCACTAGAGGAGTGAGTCAGTAAAAGTGTCAGAGTCCCGTAACAGACGGCGTGCGCAAGATAATTAGCCTGCAGTCATCTGGAAGCAGCGCAGCTCTGCCCAGGTGCCCACTGTGCACTGAAAGAGACCAGATGACCTTTTACTCAGCTTCCCACTGCAGTCACTTAAAACAGTGATGGATGTTTCCCTTAACACCCTGCTCCCCACCAGCCCTCGTTCCCCCCTCTCCACCCTCCCTCTTTCTCATCTCACCATTTTCCCCTCCTTTCCTCGTCTCTGCGCCTCTTCACCACCACTCCTGCATTATTTGTCCCCTCACCACTCCTTGTTTTTCCACCGTCCTATTTATTGCCTCCTATTCTCTCTGTTCTTTCAGAGTGATGAGGAGGAAGAGGAAGAAGAAAGGTGGAGCTGGGGGGGTGGGGGTGGGGGCGGTGGAGGAGGTGTTCCCTGCCAGCGCAGAGCAGCAAGAAGAGTCAAGCCACCCCCCCTCCCCACAGCTCCTAATTAGCATGCCGCAGCTGTTGCTCAGGTGACATGGCCGCTGGAGTCTGTCCCGACTGCAGGAAGATCAGCAGCATGGCAGAGAACGGGATAGCAGGTAAGGACAATGAGAACAGGAGGGAGAAAAGGGGGAGAGAGAGAGAGGGAGATGGGACAGCACACACACACACACACACACACACACTTTGCACTGTTGTGATTCATACACACATACATGTCCATGTTCAAGTTCAGCCTCCCTCTCAAAGCCATACAGTGAAGGAGAGTGTGCGTTTTATTTAATTAAAGTATCACTACGGGCAGAGATGTGCTACTTGAGTTATTGTAGCAATAACGAGGCTTGTGCAGTTTTATCTGCGTTAATAAAAGCTAAATTTTTTTACATGGTGCAGTCTCCAGAATGCATTACACTTCATTATCACCAGCATTGTGTGTCCTAAAAAAAATGTTATAATTGCAGATGTAACAGTTTCTACATTTTATATTTGTACATAGTGATTTCAATAAACGTCTCTGTTGAATATGTTGTGTGTGTTTGGTTATTTTGAAATGTAATGTTTTATTTAATGTAAGTAAACAGTGAAAGAGTCCTGCAGTTTCCCCTCTAAACATTTCTATTTGTGTGTGAGGTTTTCATTCCCCCTTGATATGTAGGATATTGGATTTGTTGCCTAAGGCAATAAAGAGAGAGGTGTATTAGACAAATACTCATACTATCGTTAAGAGAGAGTGTGTGTGTGTGTGTGTGTGTGTGAGGAAAAGAAAATACAAGGAGAGGGGGAAAGAGGGTCTATGTGTAGGCGTGTTTTTTATTTGCTCCATTTGTGTGTGCCGTGCGTGTGCGTGCTTTGGGGGAGCAGTGCAGCCAGGCTGCAGATATCATCCATCTCCCTGTCACCGGCCTAAGGGCTGCTGGGAAAGTGGCAGACAGCTCCCCAGCTCTGACAACAGAGGCTGCATCCTAATTTCCAACACAGAATGCTTGGAAGAAAAAAAACAGCTCCTCCCTCACCACCCAGTACGGAAAACCATTAACCCTGCGATCCTGGAACAAAGCGTGAAGCTCAGCCTGGGCCACCACTGGCTGCGTGTCATATCAGCTCCCATCATGCACCAGCCTCAACTCTGAGCCCCAACACTTAGCATGGAGTCCACTTTATAAAACATTACACATCTCACACTGCTGGACATTTCAAGACACACCTCGAAATGAGATCAATTCTGGAGTCAGATCTAATTCGGAGGTCACGTTACAGACTGATACAGAGACACTGCAGTGGATTCATTTTTTTAAATAAAAGTCCCCCTCACAATATGTGTAATAAATGGATTACATGCTGTGTGGTAAGCCATGACTAATTGTGTTATAAAGCTGTTGTCAGCCATTCTACAGCCATTGTTATACACACATACACACACACACACACACACACTTGGTTTCCCATCTTCCCAAAAGTTTGTGTTTTTCTCTGGTTGCAGGCTTCAGATAGACGCTGGCAAGTTAAAATGCAGGCAGCTCTCACGGGTCACATGCTCAAATCTAATCAACTTAATGACTGACAGGTCTTCACTTAACCCAAACTCATCAGTCTAACACAGTATGTACGGGATGATCGACGTAATGTTATATATAACTGAAGATATTATATGTTTTACAAATATCCTCAGTGTACAACAGTATTTGGTTTTAAGTAACAAATAAATGGAACAACTGAATTATATATGTCTTTAAAATATTACTCCGATTAGGTCCGAAACTAATTGTTATTGATATAATCTGATTATTTGTCTGGAATAGTCATTTGGTTTATAAGATATAAAAACATAAGTGTGTTAGAGTTCAGTCACCAAAGACCAAGGTGCTGTCGTCAAAGTCTTTGTTTTGTCCCACCAACTCATTGCTTTATTTTCTGATTGGAAAATTAATGCAGTCTTAAACAATTAATCAAATACCAAATTTGTTGCCACTTAATTAACTGTCACTCAACTAATTGATTAATTTTAACAGAAACTATTGACTCCTTAACTCTCCCTTAATAGGTTGACTAGTATAAACCTGAATGGACATGTACACACACACACACACAGACAGACACACACAGATATACAAGACAGGAGCCGTATTCATCACTGTGCCACAATTAAAGTAGACAGCACAATGGAACATAAATGACTCTGCGCTCCAATAGCTTAATTGCTAAATCTCTTCTTTT